AACTCAAAAAAAAAAAAAAAAAAAAAGGAAATATAGGTTGGTGCAAACTTTACATAAGGCAATATTGAAATACATAGTAAAATGTTAGAATTGCAAATATAGATTTTCCCTAGAAATTTACTTGCTGAAAATTTACTCCTAGAAAGTAACTGTACAAACATAAAAAGATGTTTGCTCCAACATTATCTGTTTATTTTTTAAAACTTTAGATTTAGTGTGTACATGTGCAGGTTTGTTACATGAATATATTGTATAATGTTAGGGCTTCTACTGAACCCATCACCCAAATAGTGAACACAGTGCCAATAGGTGGGTTTTCAACACTGGTTCCTTCCCTACCTTCACCTTTTGGAGACCCCAGTGTCTACTATTTCCATCTTTATGTCCATGTGTACCCATTGTTAGCTATTTGATTTTCTGTTTCTGTGTTAATTCATTTAGGATAACTGTCTCCAGCTGCATCCATGGTGCTGCAAAGGGCATGATTGTATCCTTTTCTATGGCTGCATAGTGTTCCATGGTTTACATGTACCACAATTTCTTAATTTAATCCACCATTGATGGGCACCTAGATTGCTTCCATGACTTGGCTGTTGTGAATAGTGTTGTGTTAAACATACGAGTGTAGGTGTCTTTTTTACAGAACAATTCCTTTTTCTTTGGGTAGCTGTCCAATAGTGGGATAGCTGTGTTGACTGGTAGTTCTATTTTTAGTTTTTTGAGACATCACTGTATAGCTATCTGCAGGGGATGAACTAACTTACATTTCCATCAACAGTGTATAAACATTTCCTTTTTTCTGCATCCATTTTAATAATAGCCATTCTGACTGGTGTGAGATGTTTTCTCATTGTGGTTCTTGTGCTACATTTTCTGATGATTAGTGATGTTGGCAATTTTTCAAATGTTTTTTGGTCACTTTATGTCTTCCTGTGAGAAATATCTGTTCATGTCCTTTGCCCACTTTTTAATGGAGTTTTATTTTCTAGTTGTTGTTTGTTTAAGCTCCTTAAAGATTTTGGATATTAGTCCTTTGACGAATGCCTAGTTTGCGAATATTTTCTCCAATTCTGTAGGTTTTCTGTGTACTCTGTTGCTAGTTTCTTTTGCTGCGCAGAAGCTCTTTAGTTTAAGTTTGAATTGTTAATTTTTGTTTTTGTTGCATTTGCTTTTGAGGTCTTAGACATACAACTTTTTGCCCAGGCCAAAGTCTAGAAGCATTTTTCCTAAGTTTTTTTTTTTTTCCTAGAACTTTTATTGTTTGAGGTCTGGCATTTAAGTCTTTAATCCATCTTAAGCCAAATTTTGTAGGCGGTAAGATGTAGGGGTCCAGTTTCACTCCATACGGCTAGCCAGCTTTCCCAGCACCATTTATTGAATAAGGTGTCCTTTTCTCATTGTATATCTCTGTTGACTTTGTGGCAGATCGTCTGGCTTCATTTCTGGTTGTTGTGAGGGGGCCCAAACTCTGTACGGGCTCCATGCTTGTGGACAGCTTCCGTGCAAGTGGCTTTATCAGGGGTTGCTTGCAGTGTGTAATTCTTTTTGTTTGGTGGTGCAGGTCGGGCTGCAGTTCAGTAGATGACATTTAAAGGGAAGAACCAGCAGGAAGGCTGATGCTCCGTGGACGCACCTGCCCTGACAGGGGTGACAGGCAGGAAGAGGCTGTGATGGGGAGCACCAAGGTGTCCTGGGAAGGGGCGGGGGGAGGGCGGCAGGGGGCGGGGCGCCAGCTCCTCATCCTGAGCCGGCGGGAATGCGGTCCTCTTCCCTATCACGCCCCTGTTGTGGGGCTCGTGACCTTCTGTTTATAAAGGCCTTATCCTTTGGTTCCCGGCGCGGTGCAGCTGTGGGTCGCAGACTTGCCTCTCTGCTGGCTACCACTAGAACACCAGAAAGGTATACACAATGGAATAATATGCAGCCATAAAGAGGGACACATATATGGACTTGGCAGCAACTTGAATGGATTGGGAGTCGATCACATCAGTGATCCATCACAGAAACAAAGAACAGGGTACCTTATGCACAGAAACAAAGAACAGGGTACCATATGTTCTCACTCATAAGTGAACCTTGAACAATTATAATACCATAAGAAAGCGATTGGCAGTAGTGGGGGGAGGTTGGCAGTTAAGGGAAACTGCTGGGTGGGGGGAGGCCATACCTCATCAACCAGGGTACCTGTATAATCAATGTTTATATACCTAACCCTGAATTGTACCCCACATCTTTATAATAAAAAAAAGAACACCAGAAAGCGGGTGAGGATGGAGACTCTCCCCGCAAGTTCAGAGCTGGCAACTCCCCAGTCTGTCTTCCGCCAACAGGGCACTGTCGCTCTGTGTAAGGAGCCAGTATTATATTTAATGGTTAAAAGAAACAGAAAAAAAAAAGGATGGAAATGGTCTAAGCATCCAAAAACAGAGAACCAAGGAGATAAAATGTAATTTATAAAAGGCGAGTCTATCCAATTGCAAATATGCATTCGTGTGCACGCACATGCAGCGACATATTTATTGATATGGAAAGAGCCCCATCACTCATTGTGTGTTGAATAAGAAACAACAGGCTTGAAACTATGTATAATGTTATGTTACTTACGTGAAATTATATGAATGCACATGTTCACACATGTACAGTGAAAGATTGTGAAAAACGACTGCCAAAATAATATGTTGGGTGATTTATTGTTATTTTTTTTCCTACTGCGTCCTTATACTGCTTGGATTTCTTATGATGGTCACATATTTCTCTTACAAGTAACCAAAATTATGTGTTTTTTTTTAAACTGGCACACACATGTTTATTGCAACCCTATTCACCATAGCAAAAATATGGAACCAACCATGCTGCCCATTGAAACTGGACTGGATAGAAAAAAATGTGGTACATATACACGGCAGAATATTACACAGCCACGAAGAAAAACAAAATTATGGACATTGAAGCAATTTGGATGTATTTAGAGTCTATCATACTCAGTGACCTATCACAGAAACAAAGAACTGAGAACTACATGTTCTCAGTGATAAGCAAGCCCTGAACATTTATAATATAATAAGAAAGGCATTGGCAGTAGTGGGATATTGCCAGGAGAGGAAGGGTGAGCACACAACATCAAAAGGGTACCTGATCTCAAACCAGGCAAAGTAGGGGCCCATGGGAGGCCCAAACTTTACCTGTATGATGACTACTTGCATACCTAATTCTGAATTGTGCCCCACATCTTTAAAATAAAAAAAAAAAAACCCTTCCTAACCCCCACTACAAAGCATAGAATTCATTATTTTCAGACCCTTGAACCTGGACTGTTTTTTTCTTCACATCTCTTCTGTCAGCTCATTGTTTCATTCAGCTTAACCGTTTCTCAGAAACGGTACTGAAATAAATGTCCTTGAACTTCAATCTTCATAGAATTTGGCCAAGAGCCTCAAAAACCAATGCCACATCAATTCCCTACTACAACAAACTTTTCTGAGAGGATTAACTGATGGTGGCACTTCTTCACAATGCCCATGTGACAGTGCTGTGGCCACTCCTCTGTTCGTGATGAATCTACGGCTGGTATTGGTACACAATCTCTTCTGCAGAATCAAATGAAAGCTCTTATGGTGCATTTGTTGTAATGGGTGCACCTATCATTCATTTTGAGATTCCAAATAACAAAAGGCAGGATTTGGCAGCCTCATGCATTTGCATTTGCAACAACTTACCAATCCTGGGGTTGCTGGTAAACTGTTAGTAAGACTTCTAGATTCTCTGTTCTCTCTTTGATTCTAGGCTGCTCTCTTCAGAAAACAGAGGCAAAGCCAAAATGACAGAGCACCATACAGCCCTCTGTTTCCTACACATAACCATCCATTTAGATCTTATTTGACTGAATAAAGCAACCCTCGCTCAGTTTTGAATTGCACACATTTGTGTTCACTGGAGATTTTCTAATACTAGAAACAAAAAAAAAAGTCTATTTTCCCCCCAAATCTCACATGTGGGGATATGTTTTAGACCAGTTTTTAGGTCTCCCCTTGCTGTGTCATTCTCACAAAAAATATTTTCTTCACTCATAGGAACAACTTCATGACATTTCAACTTCCCATATGAAATGGAAAAAAAAAATGAACTACTGAGAAGGCTATTGCCAATGTTTTAAGAGAAACTTCATTCTGGATGGGAGATTTCCTTCCTTCCTCCCTCTCTCCCTCCCTCCCTCCGTCCCTTCCCTCCTCCCTTCCTTCTCTTCTGGAGTCTCACTCTTGACGCCCAGGCTGGAGTGCAGTGGCACGCTCATAGTCACCACAACTTCAACCTGCTGCTCAACCTGCTGGGCTGAGGTGATCCTTCTGCCCCAGCCTTCCAAGTAGCGGGAACTACAGATGCATGCCACCACACCCAGCTAGTTTTTGGTGATTTATTGAGAAACGAGTTCTCACCAAGTTGCCTAGGCTGGTCTCAAATCTCCAGGCTCAGGTAATCCTCTCACCTCGACCTCCCCAAGTGCTGGGATTATAGGTGGAGGCACCATGCTCGGCCTGGGAGATTTTCAAAAATAAAAGTGGAAGCTGAAAGTAGAACTAGACACACAGAATTTAGACTCAAAAATTGTTTATTAGTCCTCAACAGCTTTTGATCCTTATTCCAGCTTGTATCCATGTCTCATTATTTTTTAGCTGCCAAATATTTATGTTTAGTCTCTCCTGAATGAAGTACTTATCGAGCCTCATTTTACCATGACACTAAAAGATAGTGAGAAATGAATACATTTGACATTCCCAAAATGATATTGTCTCTTGGAGAAATTATCAGATGGTTAACAACAGACCATTGTAGACTAAGAACCAGTGACCACTGATGTAAATTCCATAGTGTATCGATGCTAACAAAGACCCAATGCTCAAAACTACCTTTGGTATGTAAGATGTGTCATCTGTCTATGTTATATGAGGGACATATAACATACTAACATGGAGAAAACTGTTTTTGTGGGACTGTGTACTCACCCCAAATCGCCATGAATATTGCAAAGAACACTGTAGACTCGTTATCAAACAAATAGGAGAACTGTAAAATAATAACAATATCACAGAGACCACTTAGCATCAAATGCCATACAAAAGGAGGAAAATTCCCAATCTTTCCAACAAACTACAATGCATGCATACCTTTGACGCCAAACAAGTACTATTTAGTCTCCAATAGTCACACACTAGATCACAGAGGGGGCACATAATCATCTGACCTCCAATCTCAGGGTCACAGATTTCAACGCTGCAGGAGGAAGAACCAAGTTATTTTAAAAGTGATAGGCATTTGGGTGAAAGTCCAAGCTGCTCTTATTAGAACAACTGTTTATACATAGCTTCTCATATATGACAGAGGAGCAATGAAGCAGCAATTTCTGTAGCGGATCGAGTCATGCTATGAGGAATAGACTCTTTAGAGCCCATCATTTTAAAAAAAGATTTTCCATAAAGCACCAGGTGAAAAGCAGCTGCTATGTTTGGGCCTTTTATTTTTCGGAAACAGCGATTATTGGCTGCCATAAGGAAACATTTGGAAGCAAATGCCAGAAAAATAATTATGATTTCAGTTCACATAAGGGAAAGATGTTGTCTGGATCCGGGCAACTTAGCTTTACTTACCTGCTTGTGTTACGTTCCATTGATAATAAACCATAAATAAAACAAGCTAAGCCAACCACAGCTGCAAAGAACAGCATTTCTGTGTAATATCCAAGAAAGACAAAATAGATACCAATTTTTTCTCCATAATATTTCCTATGGAAGAGAGTAAAAATAGAATCAGAAGTTAGAAGAACATCATAATACCAAAAGTCTTGATTTTATATTCAGACAGGCATATATTCTAATTCTGGTTCTACTGCTTTCTAGTCAGGTAATTTTGGTAAAGTTACTAAACTTTCTAACTTTAGTTTTCGCATAATAAAACACAGGATAATGCTTATCTCATGGGGTAAGGACTGATGTAAGGAGTAACACGTCAGTATGAACAAGGAAAACATATATCACTAGGAAGCCAATTAAATAGTTTTACATTTTTAAATAAAGAGATGAGTTGAAGAACCTCTATATTTTAAAAAGTTTAAAAGATCTAAAAATAAACTGCAGAATATTCTGCAATGCAACTTTTGAGCAATTAATTCAACAAATAGAAATCACATTGAAAACTGGCATGACATTTTACTTTATCTCTCTTTTTAAAATTGAAGAAAGTAAAATTTACCTCTTCCTCAAAGTTTGAATATCTGAGGGATGTTTACAGAATTGTGTCCTAGGTAGCAGACCAGGGAATTAAAAATGCCTACTTAATAAAAATTCTGTAAAACAGGCAGCTCAGCTCTTGCTTTCCAAAGAGTTGAAAAGTAACAGTATTACTTGAAACAAACAATCAAGTCTCACAACCAAGTGTTGTTTTGTTTTTTATTTTTAAACCGAGACTGCTTTAGGAACCAGAGAATGCAGTTTTCTTCTCTAGCTCAGAAAGTCAGATTTTGCTGTTGGTTAACCTGATTAATCTTCCTTCTAATCTATACAGAGAGCCCAACTCACCAAATCTGTGAGCCTTTCCCCAGTTTTCTAAACTGATATATGTAATCTCTTTTGCGTTCTAATACCAAGCTATATAACTCTATGAAAACACTTAATGTTAAATTTTAATTTCCACCTGCTCAAAAGGGAGCCCACTCTGAACACAAAGGTAATAAATTTCATTTCCAAATAAGAAGATTTTGAAATATATTTCTCATATTAACTGGAAATTAAATCATAATACTGTCATCTTTCAATGGTAATCTGCCATTCACAACTTCCTGAAGTTTACTCATACTTAGAATGAATGGATGAACTTGTTCTTTTCCCAGCTTTTGACTGAAAAATACAGCAATTACTGTAATACTGTATAGCATCAATATCAGAGGATAGTATAAAATATTTTGTAGAATGTACAATTAACCATGTCTATTTCCACTCGATGTTTTAAAAATCACAGAATCAACGTTTTTAGAAGGTATAACATCAGTATTACTGCTATAGATTTAGCTTAACTGTTCAAGAATTCATAAGGAAACAAAATTTCAACAACCTTGTTTTTTAAAGAACTACTTTTTCTCCTATTCAAAATTTTAAGAATCTTATTTCTTGAGAATTAAAAAAACAAAAAACTCTCAAGAACTCCAGATACATGATTATTATAAAAATATTCTTAAAAAGAGAAATGGCTGAGCATTTATTAAATGAAATCAGGTTTGCTCTTATTATATGGAGAAATATACAAATTATTTTACTAAACTTTGAAACTGGGTGTTTAACAGAAACAGAATAACAATTAAACCATCTTTTAAGAGTGCAGAAAACCACACATATCTTAGATTTGTATTATGTTAGAAATGTATAGAAATAACATTTAAAGTTTAACTTAAGCTATCTTATTACTTATACCAAGGAATATAAGATAAATCTAATAATACGAGACACTTTAAAGAGTCAAATATATAATTTTGAGGTTTTTTAATGAAAAAAGTGGGCCATATGTTTATATCTATGGTATTTTTAGCAAAAATATTGCTAAAACGATAAAACCAACAGAGAGGGAAACAAATAAACCCAATACAAGCCTTAAGTATCATGACTGAGAACATCATGGTCTTGAAATTATCTGTGGGCAAAAAAACCCAATTTCAACACTTGCTGTCACAAACCAGGGACAGAGAGTGGAGAAAAAGATGTTTAAGAAATTCTAGAAAAAATACAATGTAAAGTAGGGTGGAGGACATCGACAAACACAGAATAACCTCGAAAAAAAGGTTTAACTATATGCCAGAATACTGAAGATGTTGGGACTTGGGAATTTACAACACTGTCTATAAGAAAGGATGTGGGTGGGGCGCGGTGGGTCAAACCTATAATCCCAGCACTTTGGGAAGCCAAGATGAGAGGATTGCCTGAGTCGACGGGTTTGAGACCAGCCTGGGCAATATGGGGAGACTTTATCTCTACAATAAATCAAAAAATTAGTTGGGCATGGTGGTGCATGCCTGTAGTTCCAGCTACTTGGAAGGCTGAGGAGGAAGGATCCCCGGAACCCAGCAGGCCGACGCTGAGGTGGCCATGAGCATGGGTGCCACTGCACTCCAGTCTGGACCACAGAGTGAGACTCCATCTAGAAAGGAAGGGAGGCAAGGAGGGAAGGAGGGAGGAAGGATACGAAAATGAGCAAGACTGGAAGGGACAGCCTCAGAGAAGCAATATTTCTTGGGAAGAATCAGACACAAGAAGAAGACTGGTACTCCTTGTGAGAGAACCGTAATAGAGTATACCATAAACTTAGGTTAAGAGCATGCTATAACCCAATAAATATGTAATCGGCTTATGGACAATAGTACAGCCATCTTAGTTTTCTGCTTTAAAACATAACCTGTAGCTGTTTAAAGTTTCAGTTATGGGAAAAAACTGCAAAGCTCCAGTTCAAGCTTTAACCCCTTCCCTTGACCCACTTTCCCCTTAGCAACAACCAATCAGGTGTCAGGGGAAAATCACCTAAAGTTTCCAAATGTCTCTGCAACTTCACCAGCTAGTGGGCCAAGGTCAGCCCGAGTCAAGCTAGCCAATCCTCCATGATTAAGCTGACAACCAGAGGTTACTACCCAATTAAATGGTAACAGGACTGGAAAGTCCTCCCAAACTCCTCCTCCCTTTGTGTAAAAGCATAAAAGGCATCTGCTTAAGGAAGCCAGGGCCTCTGGGTGTACTCCGCTGCATCGGTGGTCGACAGAGGACCAGGCTCGAGCTTGCAAATAAAGGCCCTCTTGAACTTTCATCGGAATTGGCTCTTGGTGGTCTCTCGGATTGAACTTTCAGCCACTACATTTGGGGGCTCTCCGGGATCCCAGAGACCCCCGAGACCCCAGTCTGTAGGGTTCTCAGGCTGGCATTCGGTAAGTCGCTCCCGGGTTAGTGCATCTGTGTCCTGTATCTCAGGTGGAGCTCCACACTTTGTTCTGAGGTCAGCATCAGGCTAGGCAGACGTGCTGGAAAGCCGCTGGCCGGGTCTTGTGGGAGATGTCCCACAACCCCCATCCGGAAGACGAGGTCTTCATCTGTGGGGACGGTCAGACTCGTCAATGGTCTGTCTCTCCCCTATCATACTTTCAGATTTGTTTTCGCGACCGCTACCATCTGTCTCTTGTCATTTTCCCTTTCGTCTGTTGGTTGTGTTTGTTGTAACGACAGTACTGATGAATAAGATGGGACAGGCACAGACAACGCCATTAACCCTCATGACTGATCACTTTTCAGAACTAAAGGAAAGGGCGCACAATTTGAGTGCTGAAATTCACAAAAAGAAATTCCGGGATTTGTGCGCCACTGAGTGGCCCGCCTTCAATGTAGGCTGGCCACGAGAAGGGACCTTTCTAACAAGTGTTCTCTTGCAGGTCAAGAGTGTCATCCTCCAAAGAGGATCCCAGGGACACCCAGACCAACTACCTTATATACTGGTCTGGCAAGATATAGTGGAATCCTCTCCCCCTTGGGTGAAACCCTATCTTCCTACCCCGTTAAAGGCATTGAGAGTTCTCACGGAGCAGGAGAAGGGGGCGGAACCTTCGGAGCCACCGGAGAGTGTGTCGTCACAGCCTCGTGAGAGGCAGAATCCCTTCCATAAGTCCCCAAAGAACCCCTTTTACCCCGTTCTCCCTGATTCTAACTTGCAAGAGATAATTTCCCCCCCATACCAGTCAGCTCCCTCTAAACCTTCAGCCCCGCCAGTGCCATGCCCCCCTGCTCGCGGGCTGCGTGCAGAGCTGCGTGCCCTGGAGGCTCTGGGACCATGGCGGCAGGTGGCAGTGGCGGCGGAGCAGCCCTCCGCGGACCATGTCGTCTCCGGCTGTGGTGAGGACCTCCCCTGGAGGGAGTCGGGAGACGGCACCCACGCCGTGGGGCCAAGGCCGGTTCTGGGAAGTGGGCGGCGACGGAGACTGGCTGGAGCGCGCTGCCACGGAGTTGGAGCGCTGGGAGCTGCTGCTCCGCCACGGTGAGCTGCCGGCGCTAGGTAGCCACCTGAAGGTAGCGCTGGACGCGTATGTGGCGGCGCTGCGCCGCGGGGGCCAGGCCCAAGTGCCTCGGCACCCTGGTGGACTGCCTGGTGTTCAACTACCAGCTCCGCCATGGGCTGGGCTGGAGCGCAGCCCCCGCTGCGGCCGTGGGCGTGGGCACCGGCGGCATCCTCAGCTGCCTGGGCTACCCGGGCTTCCTGAGCAAGCCGGTGACCGTGCCCTGTAGCCACAGCTACCGCCGCTGCCGCCGCTGTGGAAGCAGAGCCAGGAGTGGCCAGGGAGGGGAGGCAGAAAGGAGAAATGGATGGACCAACCGCGGGGACTCGAGGGAGAGTTGCCAGGGTGGCTGGTCCTGGCGTGGCCCTGGCCGACTCCATGGTGATATTGCCACTGAGAGTGGCTGGGCCCCCAGATGAGGCCGGGAACCAACCCATGCATTATTGGCCGTTTTCCACTAGTGATCTATACAATTGGAAAATGCAAATTGCTACTTTCTCTGAGAATCCTAGAGGGCTGATTAACTTGCTGGAAAGCATTCTCTTTACCCACCAGCCTATCTGGGATGATTGCCAGATGCTTCTACAGGTATTATTCACCACTGAAGAGAAAGAAAGAATCCAGATGGAGGCCTGGAAGCTGGTTCCGGGAGTTGATGGACAGCCCACCACCATGATCTTATAAATGCAGCCTTTCCCCTTTCCCGACCTGGATGGGATTTTAACATGGCAGAAGGTAAGGAGAAACGCCGGGTCTACCGCCAGGCTCTGATGGCAGGTCTCTGGGCAGCTGCTCGTAAGCCCACTAATTTGGCTAAGGTATATAACATAAGGCAGGACAGGTACGTGAGTTCTTAGGATCGGCTGGCTTCTGCCACCTATGGATTCCTGGGTTTGCTGAGCTTGCCCAGCCATTATATGAGGCCACCAAAAATAAGTCCAACCTCACATGAACGGAGGACATGAACAGATCTTTCGAAACTCTTAAACAAGTCCTGGTGTCAGCCCCAGCTTTGGGACTGCCAGATCTGACTAAACCCTTTTTCTTGTTTGATGATGAATCTAAGGGAATAGCCAAAGGAGTGCTGCTGCAGCAAATAGGGCCATGGAAGAGGCCAGTGGCATACCTGTCAAAGAAGTTAGACTCCGTGGCTGCCAGGTGGCCCCCATGCCTACAGATCATCGCGGCAGTTGCCACTATGGTCAAGGACGCTGACAAAATCGCCATGGGAAAAGAACTACATGTCACCACCCCTTATGCTGTGGAGGGAGTTCTAAAACAACCACCCGACAAATGGATAAGTAATGCCCGGCTAACTCATTATCAAAGTCTCCTTTTAAACCCAGCCAGAATCTTGTTTCAGGCTCCGGCTACTCTGAATCCAGCCATCCTGCTACCCGACCCGGACAGGGAAGGCCCCCTGCACAACTGCCAGGACATCCTGACACAGGTCCATGGAATACGGGAAGACCTCCGGGACCGGCCCGTAACCAATGCCCAAGGAACTTGGTACACAGATGGCAGCAGCTTCATGCAGGGCGAAACCAGGTATGCTGGGGCAGCGGTGACTACAGAGACTGAGACCTTATGGGCAGCGCCACTTGCGGCCGGGACCTCGGCGCAGTGAGCCGAGCTCATTGCCCTCACTAAGGCCCTAGTCATGGGAAAAGGGCAAAGAATAAATGTTTATACTGACAGCAGGTATGCTTTTGCAACTGCGCACATTCATGGAGCCATCTATAAGGAGAGGGGGCTCTTAACTGCAGAAGGAAAGGCTATCAAAAATAAAACTGAGATCCTTGAGTTGTTACAGGCACTCTGGCTACCCAAAGCACTGGCCATAATACACTGTCCAGGACACCAGAAGAAGGACACGCCAGTGGCACAGGGAAACCGTCTGGCAGGTGCTGAGGCCAAAAAGGCGGCCCTTTCTGTGGACCATGTCCTAGTGACCACACTGCCAGACCCTGGGCCCTCGGATCTGCCTGAAAGCCCAAATTATACAGAGGAGGATTTAAAATGGATAAATGGGCAGCCTGGAGTTATGTTCTCAAACGGCTGGTGGTGGATCCAACACTGGGATACGACCACCAGCAAATGGAATGTCATCCTACCAGAACAGTTGGGTCGGCAACTGCTTATAAAAATGCACAGAAGTACCCACATGGGAACCAGAAAAATGGAAGAATTGATACGCCATGCAAACATGGTTATGCCCAATGGTCAACAAATGATTGGACAAATTGTAAATCAATGTCAGGCTTGTCAGGTTGTCAACGCAACCAATCCCAAACAAAACCCAGGGACCAGACTTTGAGGAAACCAGCCAGTAGCATACTGAGAAGTGGACTTCAGTGAGGTGAGACCAGGAAAGTACGGATATAAGTACTTACTAGTGTTTACAGACACCTTTTCAGGATGGACGGAGGCATTCCCCACCAAGAATGAAACCACACAGGTGGTGGCCAGAAACTCTTGGAAGATCTGATACCCAGGTATGGCTTCCCGGTCCAGATTGGGTCGGACAACGGCCCCAGCTTCATCTCTAAGGTAATACAGGGAGTAGCTCGGGCCCTGGGGGCGGATTGGAAATTACATTGTGCATACAGGCCCCAGAGCTCAGGACAGGTAGAAAGAATGAATAGAACCCTAAAAGAGACCTTAACTAAATTAGTCCAGGAGACTGGCGGGGACTGGGTGACTCTCCTTCCCTTTGTGCTATATAGGGTGCGCAACTCACCCTATAAGCTAGGGTTTACTCCTTTTGAAATCATGTTTGGCGTGCCTCCACCGGTCATACCTAACCTAAGAACAGAACTATTAATAAACATAAATGATCAAAAACTCCTTTTTTCCCTCCAAACTCTGCAAAGGGTCCACGAGCAGGTGTGGCCCAGACTGAAAGCCCTTTATGAGACTGGACCACCGCCAACTCCCCACAACTACCAACCAGGGGACTGGGCGTACGTCCAGCGACATCAACATGAGACTCTGCAGCCGCGGTGGAAAGGACCGTACGTCATGATCCTGTCCACCCCCACTGCCTTGAAGGTGAAAGGTATCACGTCTTGGATACACCACACCCACCTCACACTTGCTGACACCCCTGCTGTGCTGAAAGACTATGCACCCAAATGGAGTAGCCGACTGGACAAGGACAATCCTCTAAAGCTAAGACTGTGTCGCACTTCTTCTCCTTCTGCTTCTTCATGACAGGGATGGGATCCCTTTGGGCAGTCCCTAATCCTCACCAACCTCTAAACTTAACATGGCTAAGGTGCAAGAAGGTTTGGCTAAGCACAAATTAGAGTGGGAGCAGAGACAGGGATGGTTTGAAAGTTGGTTTAACTACTCACCTTGGTTAACCACACTATTGTCTACTTTAATAGGCCCCGTGATCATACTCTTGCTGTTACTAACCTTCGGTCCATGTATTTTAAATAAGCTAATAACTTTTATAAAAGCTAGAATAAACACTGTGCAACTTATGGTCCTCAGACAACAATACCAACAGGTGCCCCTGGACAACTCAACATGTTAAAGGAATGCAAGATTAGATTCACTCTACCCCATGAGAAGGGGGGAATGAGAGAACCGTAATAGAGTATACCATAGACTTAGGTTAAGAGCATGCTATAACCCAATAAATATGTAATCGGCTTGTGGACAGTAGCACAGCCATCTTAGTTTTCTGCTTTAAAACATAACCTGTAGCTGTTTAAAGTTTCAGTTATGGGAAAAACTGCAAAGTTCCATTTCAAGCTTCAACCCCTTCCCTTGATCCACTTTCCCCTTAGCAACAACCAATCAGGTGCCAGGGGAAAATCGCCTAAAGTTTCCAAATGTCTCTGCAACTTCCCCAGCTAGTGGGCCAAGGTCAGCCCGAGTCAAGCTAGCCAATCCTCCACGATTAAGCTGACCACCAGAGGTTACTACCCAATTAAATGGTAACAAGACTGGAAAGTCCCCCCAAACTCCTCCTCCCTTTGTGTGAAAACATAAAAGGTGTCTGCTTAAGGAAGTCAGGGCCTCTGGGTGTACTCCGCTGCGTCGGTTGTCGACAGAGGTCCAGGTTCAAGCTTGCAAATAAAGACCCTCTTGAACTTTCATCGGAATTGGCTCTTGGTGGTCTCTCGGATTGAACTTTCAGCCACTACACTGTAGGCATAATAAGACCACCTACTCTGTTTGTCAACAAGGAAATCAGTACACCTGTTT